TATTACTATTATTATTATTTTGCTCTTTTTGAGACAGGGTCTCCCTGTAGCCCCAGCTGTCCTGGAACTTACTATGTAGACCAGGCTGGCCTTGTACTCACAGAGATCCGCCAGCCTCTGCCTCCCAAGTTCTGGGATTAAAGGCATGCGCCACCACACCCGGCCCCTACTTATTATTTTTATTTTATGTGTATGAGTGTATTGCCTGCATGTACGTGAGTGCATCCATGTCATACAATGCTGCGGAGGTCAGAAGAGGGCTTCGGATTTCCCCTGGAACTGGAGTTAAAGACGGTTTGTAGCTGCCATGTGGGTGCTGGGAATTGAAACTGGGTCCTCTGTAAGAGCATCCAGTGCTCTTAACTGCTGAGCCATCTCTCTAGCCCCAGATCTCTGTGAGTTTGATGCTAGCCTGGTCTACATAGTAAGTTCCAGGCCAGCTAGGGCTACAGGGAGACCTAGTGTCAAAAAAATTTTTTTATTAATTTTTAAAAATTTTTATGTGTATGCTAGTGTGGTGGTACACACCTTTAATCCCAGCACTCTGGAGGCAGAGGCAGGCAGATCTCTGTGAGTTCAAGGCCAGCCTGGTCTACATAATGAGTTCCAGGCCAGCTGAGGCTACAGGGAGACCCTGTCTCAAAAAAAAGTTTATGTGTATGAGTATATTGTCCGCATGTATATAAGCATACTCATGTCATGCAGTGGCCTTGGATGTCAGAAGAGGGTGTCAGATCCCCTGGAACTGGATTTATGGACAGTTGTTAGCTGCCATGTGGGTCCTGGGAACTGAACTTGGGTCCTCTGCAAGAGCAACCAGTGCTCTTACCCACTGAGCCAGCTCTATAGTCCCCTTTCTTCCTCTTTGATTCCACCACCTGCCTCCAGTTTATGGGTTTGTGCTGTGTACATTCAGAGCAGTTCTTTCCCATTAATTAATCCTCTCTGGATCACCCTCACTGATACACTAATCTAGATGTTTCTCAATCTAGTATGTTGAAAGTTTTAGTTTATTTCTGTTGCTGTGATAAATTACGCTGACAAAAACCAACTTAGGGGAGAAAGGGTTTATTTCACCTTATAATTCCAGGTTATAGTCCATCATCATAGGGAAGTAAAGGCAGGAACTTCAGACAGCTGGTCACATCATTTCCACAGTCAGGAAGAGAGAGGAATGTCCTCAGCACCATCTCTTCTATTCTTCAGTTCTTCCTGCCTAGGGAATGGTGCTGCCCACAGTGGGCTGGAGCTTCCCACATCAATTAGCATTATTTATTTATTATTTATTTATTTGTTTGTTTATTTATTTGTTTATTTTGTCTTTTTGAAACAAGGTCTCCCTGTAGCCCCCAGATGGCCTGGAACTAACTACATAGACCAGGCTGTCCTTGAACTCACAAAGATCAGCCTATCTCTGCCTCCCAAGTGCTGGGATTAAAGGCATGCTCCACCACGCCCAGCTCCAATTAACATTATTTAAACAATTCCCCACAGACATGCCCACAGACCAACCTGATGTAGGCAATCCCTCACTGGAAATCTCTTCCCAGGTGATTCTAGGTTTTGTCAAGTTGACAGTTAAAGCTTAACCATGACAACAGTCAAGTTGACAACCATTACAACTATCATGCACAAATACCTGGGTTCCATACTCATCACAGCACAATAGAATAAAATAATAATTTAATTAAAAAAGAAAAGAGGGGGGGCTGGAGAGAAGGCTCAGCAGTTAAGAACACTGGTTGTTCTTGCAGAAGACCCGGGTTTGAATCCCAGCACCCACATGGCAGCTAACAACTGTCCATAACTCCAGTTCCAGGGGATCCTACAGCCTCTTCTGTCCTCCCCGGGTATTGTACAACACAGGTGCACTTACCTACACACAGGCAATACACACATACACATAAAATAAAAATAATAAAATATGAATGAAAAAGAAAAGAGGGCTGGAGAAATGGCTTGGGTTAAGAGCACTGGCTGCTCTTGCAGAGGACCCAGGTTCAGTTCCCAGCACCCACATGGCAGCTAACAACTGTCTTAAACTCCAATTCCAGGATATCTGATGCTCTCTTCTGGCCTTTTTGGGCATTACATGCATGTGGTGCACTTACATGTGGGCAAAACATTCATACACATTAACTAAAAATAAAATATTTGAAAAATAAAATAAAAAAGAGGGGTGGCTAAGGGCTGGCAGCATCCCATCATATGAGGACTCAGGTTTAATCAAGTTGCTTAGATCATTCATGAACAGGGGAAGGCACTCACGCTAAGCAGAGGCTATGGTGTTATAGGGAGTGGGCACTCACTGTGGGGAGAATAGCTGAGATGGGGGCAAGCGTAGATGTAGGGCCAGGTGGGATGCTGTGGGCAGGAGCCAGTGGTGACCACAGTGACAAAGGAGGGAAGCCAGTGAATAGAAGTGTATCTTGTAACAGGGGATTGAGTACCTCTGGGCAGCATGTGGGGAGATGAGGAAAGGTGTTCATGACATAGTGTAGTGTAGAAAAATTAGATGAGGAAACACATGTGGCTGTCGTTAGTCCATCAAGACCGAGTGGAGAACAGCGCAGAGGGGCTGTCAGTCTTCTGTGGTTCTCACTTGTCTCTCTGCATGCTTTCTGAGTAACCAGAATTGGAGGTCAGTTCTGACTGGTGGTGACTGGCCACTTTTGCCTCTCCCACTACCCAGGAATATGAGGAGCGCCTGGCCCGCCTGAAGGCCGACTATGAGGCCGAACAGGAATCCCGGGTCAGGCTGCAGGAGGACATCACTGCCATGCGCAACTCCTATGACGTCAAGCTGTCCACACTGGAGGAAAGCCTGCGGAAGGAGAAGGAGACAGGTGGGTGCCTCCCTGGGGCAGCGAGGGAGCCCACCTCCCATTCTGAGCCCAGAAGCAACAGTCTCAGGCAACACCACCTCCTGGTGGCCTGGCCACAACTGGCCACTCAAGGCTGATTTAGAGGTACCAAGTATCACCCTTGTTTGAGAGGCCAGTTCTTGCCCCAAGTTTCTGTATTTGCTAATCTCCTCTCACTGTTGTGTCTGTTTACTACCAAGGCAAGCACATCCCATAAGGATCCAGTCATTAATAAACTTTTTAATTTTTAAAAATTAAAAAAAAAATTTTTGTCTTTTTGAAACAGGGTCTCCCTGTAGCCCCAGCTGACCTGGAACCCACTATGTAGACCAGGCTGGCCTTGAACTCACAGAGATCCACCTGCCTCTGCCTCCCGAGTGCTGGGACTACAGGCATGTGCCACCATGCCTGGCTAGTAAGCTTTCAAAAAAATATTTTCTAGCCGGGTGTGGTGGCGCACGCCTATAGTCCCAGCACTCGGGAGACAGAGGCAGGTGGATCTCTGTGAGTTCAAGGCCAGCCTGGTCTACATAGTGAGTTCCAGGACAGCTGGGGCTACAGGGAGACCCTGTCTCAAAAAGAAAAAAAAAAATTTATTATTTTTATTTTATGTGTATGAGTGTAATGCCTGCATGTAGGTAGGTGCAGTGCCCATGGAGGTTAGAAAAGGCCATCGGATCCCCTGGAACTGTAGTTACAGATCGTTGTTAGTCACCATGTGGGTGCTGTGATTCGAACCTGGGTTCTCTGCAAAAGCAGCCAGTGCTCTTAACCGCTGAGCCATCTCTCCAGTCCCAGATCCAGTCATTAGCAAGAATGTTTGTGTGGATGTTTCTAGGGCACACTCATCCATCCCTGCCACTGGGGACTAGCTCTCTGCTGTTCATTGCGGGACTGGCAGGGCCTCTCCGCAACTGATGACAGGGTCAGTACTGATGGTGGGGTGCTGCTGTGCGTCTCATACTATGATGGGGGAGAGCTTTACTTGCATCCCCTCCTCTAGCCTCCTCTAGCCTCCCCCAATTTGGTGAGGTGAATTCTCTGGATTCTCCCATAACTTGTGAGGAAGCAGCCTGGGAGCAGTTCAGGCCACTTAGCCAGCTGTTGAGCCTAGGGAATCTGTACCTTCTTAAAGGGAGCCCAGGACACAGACACTAAAGAAATACATGAGGTAAAAGGAGGTCTGCAGCCCCAATCTGGGAGCAAAGCCCTGTCCAAGTGAGGAGGGAGACCCCACACCTGTGGGAGACCTCCCGGAACATGGAAGGATGGCTTCTAGCATGTTCTGTCCTTCATACAGTCCCTCCAGTTATTAGACTTCCGCAGGGTCTCTGTCTGGTTTCTAGTGCTCTAAGTATTTTAACATGAATCCACAGTGTTGATTCATTCCCAGGCATCTGGCATAGTCTGTGGACAAGAGCCCTGAGCTGGCACTAGAGGAGGATCTCTGAGGGTCTTGGGTATGTGGTCAGAGCTCAGGAGACCATAATCTTGGGAGGCAGTGAGACCCAGGGAACAGCCTGCTCATGTGGAAGGACCGTCCCAAGGCAGCGTAGTGAGAGCCCAGCAGTAAGAATCAGAGAATGGAGAATTCTCAGTGCTAGTCAGGGAAGGCTTCCTGGAAGAGGGGGTGAAGACAGGGTGGGTTCTGAAAAGAAGACAATAAGGTAGGGATGGGTGGCACAGTGACTATAGCTGGACTCTGGGGACCTGCAAGGCTCTGACTCAAAATGGTCCTTGGGACACTGTGGGTGTGGGACCGCCGTTGCCTTTTGGATGCTGCAGGAAGTTCTTGTTGTTGCAGAGGCAGTCCTGAAGGCACAAGTCCTATATAAGACTGAGGCCATGTCCAGCGCCAAGTTAGCCAATGGGTCTGAGTACTCAGTTGCTTTCCAGTACGAGACCGCAGTGAAACCCACCATCCTCTCCATGCCGGACATATCACCCAGTGACGGGGTCACCGAGAGCCACACCCCCCTCACATTTGAGGAGCTGCCCCACATGGAGCCCTCCAGATCAGAGATTTCTTTTGGGTCCGATGAATCGTCCACCCTCGAAGATTCCTCCATGTCTGAAGCTTTCCCTGGGCCCGAGGACCTTTCCAATGTGGAATTCTCCATGCCTGGGGTGCTGGCTGAGAGCACGTCCTTCCCTAATGAGCGTCTGGGTCCAGATGTGGCTTCACCTCCGCTGGAGGGTGAGAACTATGCCCAGGACGAGGAGCCGAGACTGGTGTCCTTGCAGATGTTGACAGGCCTGCATGACCCCTTTGCTGACATGGAAGCTAAGCTAGCCAGACTATCCTCCACTGTGGCCAGGACTGAACTATCCCGCATAGATGTCCCCCAAACCCCTGAGCAGGTAACTAATGTGTGCGTGAAGCCAGGCACCATGGAGTGGGCAGGAAAGGCTGGAAACACAAGGATCATGTGCACACAGGGCTGCCGACCCGTCATTAGCAGTACCGCCCTGTGTCCTTCATGCCTCTGGCATCAGTGGCCAGTTTGGGGCCCTGCTGTCCTGGAATCTGGCAAGGAAAAGCTCCAACAGACACTCCCTAAGCCTGCAGGAAAGTTGGGGTGGAGACCCAAGTTCAGATGGGCATCTGTTCCTTTGAAAGGAGTTTGTTGAGTTGCCATGGTGATCCTGAGCTTCTGGCATGTGAGAGCTAGGGAGCCTGGGGCTGCTTTCAGGGCCCTAGGACCTGCCATGCTGCCCCTGAGTCTTCCTGCCCCTTTCATGTTCCTTCTCTCCCTCTCTCCCCCTCTCTCTCCCTCTCTCCCTCTCTTTCCCTTGGTCTCTCTCTCTCTCTCTCTCTCTCTCTCTCTCTCTCTCTCCCTCTCTTCCTTTCCCCTCTTTCACGGTCTTTTTTTTTTTCCCCTGTGGTCTTTTTGAGACAGGGTCTCCCTGTAGCCCCAGCTGTCCTGGAACTCACTATGTAGACCAGGCTGGCCTTGAACTCACAGAGATCTGCCTGTCTCTGCCTCCCCAGTGCTGGGATTAAAGGCATGTGCCACCATGCCCACACCATACCCAGTTCTCCTCTTTTATGTGTATGAGTTTTGTCTGCATGTATGTCACTGCACACATGCCCTGCAGTACCCACGCAGATCAGAAGAGGGCACTGTATTCCCTGTAACTGTACATACAGGTGATTGTGAGCCTCTGTGGATGCTGGGAACCAGAACCAGGGCCTTTGCAAGAGCAACCAGTGTTTTTAACTGCTGAGCTCTCTCTCCACCCCAACCCCCTACTTCATGTTTTAAAGAAGTCTTCCTATTCCCCCCTCTTCTCTGCTACCCTTGAATGTGTGTGTGTGTGTGTGTGTGTGTGTACATGTATAACTACACAGCACAGGCCTTTGAAATTGCAGCTTCTGCTTCATGATGCAAGGTTGGGCATTTGCCTCTCTGGGCCTCAGTTTCCTCCTCTAGACAGTAGAGGTGCTGGTATGTGCTTTGTATGCCCCCCAGACCCACAGGTGCCCAACTGTGCTCTGCCTCCCCCTTCAGCTACAGTGACTGGTAGGTAGAGGAGGCTGTGGGTGGGTCAGCAGCCTGCCGGGAAGAAGGTAAAGTGGACGTCAGTGCAGTGGGGGCATGTACAAAGGGTTTGGGCCCAAATCATCCTCCTTGCTTTTCACCCCTATCTCTCCATAAGCAGCCTTCCCAGACAGACCTAATGGAACCCAGTGATGTCAAGTCAAAAGCTCAGGTGGCTGACAACCTCCCACCCAGGACGGTGAGTACCCATCTGTCCCTCTGAGTGCCTGGCCCAGCTCTGTCTGATTTGTGCTGATCATCCTTTCTGGGACTGCATTTCCTTGTCCATGAGGCAAAGACAAAAATTCCTCACCTTCCCCTAGTAGTGAGTGGCTCATGGCCAAGCAATGTTTAAACCAGAGGACTGTGTCCCTCAGCACATGTGTGATGTGAGTAGGAGGCCTGATGGATGGAGACAGTGCTTGGAGGCTCTTCTTGAAGGAGGAGAGGCAGGATGTGTTGGCAAGTCCAGGGCTGCGGCCAGGATTGGTGGCTGTAAGGCACTGTCACGGACCCGCTGTGGAGCTGTCACACCCAATTCGGACACCGTTTGTCCTTTTCTTTGGACAGTGCATCAGGCAGGGGGCGGGAGAGTGAGGACAGTCTGCCAGCCTCTGGGCATGGGCACAGGGCAGAGCTGACAGGAAGTGGTTGATGAAGTTGGGGGGCGGGGAGGCCCCAGGTAGAAGGTAAAACCCAGCAAGAAAGAGGGGCAGGTGGAGCAACACTTGCCAAGTTCTTATGGCTAGAAGTTGTGACTTTCTGAACAAGACAAGGCCTAAGAGGGGGGACACTGGAGTGAACAGGTGAGGTGCAAAGGAACCAGGAGAGACAGGGCAGGTGCAACAGCCAGGGAGGAATGCGTTCACTGTGCATGAATTCCACGGGCCGCCATGAAAGGTTTCAGTCAGGAAAAGAATGTTGTGGCCAGTTTGTAGTTTTGAGAAAGTTACCCTGCCTGCTGTGTAGACTTGATCAGAGAGGGCAAAGAGAGGAAGCCAGGAACCCCTTTGGGGTGTGTTGCTCAAAATAATGATAATAAGAATATTTGTTTGGGTATGGTTTTGGTTTTTTCCTTTTTTGTCTTTTTGAGACAGGGTCTCCCTGTAGCCCCAGCTGTCCTGGAACTCACTATGTAGACCAGGCTGGCCTCGAACTCACAGAGATCCGCCTGCCTCTGCCTCCCAAGTGCTGGGACTATAGGCGTGCGCCACCAAGCCTGGCTCTGAAACTTTTTTTTTAATCTTAAATTTTTTTTTTATTTTATGTGTATGAGTGTATTGCCTTCATGTGTGTAAGTGCACCCGTGTCATGTAGTACCTACCCATGGAGAACAGAAGAGGGCGTCAGAGCCCCTGAAACTGGAGTTACGGGCAGTTGTTCACCACCATGTGGGTGCTGGGATTCAAACCCGGGTCTTCTGCAAGAGCAGTCAGTGCTGTTAATTGCTGAGGCATCTCTGCAGCCCCAGATATCTGAAACTTTTTGAGCACTATGAAACTCAAAGTGCTTGAGATGTCTAGGCACCCTGGGCTTCAGATTTCCGGATTAGGGATGCTCCGCCTGTACCTGATCCATGCAGAGTTCCATGGATGAGCTGTCTCTTCCGGGACAGGGCTGCCTCCCAGCAGGCTCATCTCAAGGTCTACTTCCCACCTTGTTTCCTTCTGTGTCCAGGAGGCTGACAACTTAGGCCTGGAAGTGGCCGAGGAGCTAGTATCTGAGGTAGAAGCTGGCATGTGGATGGAGCCTGAAGCTCACATGGCCCAGGTGGCCGAGGTGGCCCAGCCTCAGTCCCTGCTGGTTATGGCAAGCGTGAGAAGAGAGAGCGTGGGCATGGAAGTGACTGAGGAGCTGCAGCCTGTGGACCAGCAGCGAGTGCTGGCCCGGTGAGTACCAGAGTTTGGGCTGCCAGGAGCCCATGGGATAGTGGGAAGGACATTGCAAAAGGCTGGGGCGTTATGGCTCAGGCTGGAGCGTTATGGCTCAGGCTGGAGAGGGGCGACAGCTGCTTCTCTACTGATACTGAGCTCATACCAGGCCTCCTTCACCATAGAAGGGGCAGTGGGGCAGGGGAGGTACCACAGCAGGCCAGGCAGGTAGAGCTCCACTCCTGGGCTGCCCTGCTCCAGAGCGGCCCTGACTGCCACCAGTTTCCAGCCAGTCACCTGCTCAGCGGTGGCTGCCTTGGAGGAGATCAAAGGGACTGTTGTTGGCCTTCACAGGGCCTGGCCTTGGGGTTCCAGAAACCCCAAAGCAGGCTGACACATGCATTCAGGTTCTAGCTGAGCCCCTGACCTCCAGGCCTCTAGTATTTTCTCTCTTGTAGACCC